GGCCAGCTCAGACATTCCATCCTGCATCCAGCTTTCATGTTAAGATGCCAACTCTTGCCAGTTGCCGGCATGCTTCTGTGGCAAGGTGCTTCATCCGGTGGAGGTCTCTTTGCGGGCTCAACTGGTGCAAACCCATTTGGGGCCAATTTGCATCATCATGCTTTTCATGTATCGATGTCAAGAATTAATTTTCTATTGCTTTGCCTCCCATTGCGTAGTCTAAAGTGTTCATTGGTGCAGTTCCATTTTTGAATCACTCTTGCATCATCTTGCATCTCACTTTGTTGAAGGCGGGATACAAACGTAGCTGGACACATCAGTGCTCAAGCAGGAACAGATCCACAGCTCATCAAAGAGCTTGTAGAACTTTCAGCCCCAGAGGACTTGTGGAAAGCTACGCGTCAAGGATCATCAAGGTATGGCAGACATTTGGGGCCGGATGGGAAGAACCATGGAGGTCAGTGAGGATGGAAGAGTTCTCACCAAGAAGGCTGGTGGCAACTATGCACGACATGTTGCTGCCCAAGAGGTGCTTTCCTCTGGTGTTCACACTTGGGAGGTGGAACTGACTTCTGGGGCCACCTCAAACAACAACCGCGACGTCTTCATCGGGGTTGCCACGCCGGGATGTGATGTCGAGAAGGGCGACCACCATGCCAAGGGCAAGGCATGGTACCTCCGCACCCATGACGGACACATCTATGGCGGTGATCTGGAGGTCGAAGACGCCGCGATGAAGGGCAAGCATTTTCTCGCAGGGGATCGAGTGGGAGTGCGGCTCGACTGTAATGATGGTTCCCTCCGTTTCTACAAGAACGGTGAGCCGTTGGGAGAACAATTTCCAGCCGGCACCATCCCCACGCCTGTGGTGCGCGCGGTGGAGCTGAAATGCCCTGGCCAGTGCGTGACGCTCCTGCCGGAAGTGCAACTGGTATAGTTGCGCAGCGCAGGCGTATGGCAAGCAGCAAGCTTAAAGCTAAGACAATTTGATGAGTTCACTTGATCCAGCTGCGCAAAGGCATAGTTTGAGCGGGACAACTTATGGTTCTGACTATAATATCATGTTGTCTTACTTTTGCAGCCTGCTGATGATTGTACAGTTTGCTTGATTTTTCCTCCTATCGCCGGCTTCATCTGAGATAGACTGGAATTGGAATCCAGGACGACCCCGTGCCTTCAAATTCAATCGAATGGCAATCTATAAATGTGCCGCAATATCGGAGCACTTGTTTACTGGCCTGAAGATTGAACATGGCTGCTGGCACTATCACTACCACCATCTCATACCAATTCTCTCTCTCTCTCTCTGTAGTTATATAATTGTCGTGACAAGGATGGACCACCGACCATTGCCAAAGATACCCGGCAACCACTGATGGCTCCTTTGGACTAACTTGATGTTGCCCGGTCGCCCCACCACCGACAAAGCACCAAGGGACGACCGACAACAACAACGGGTAACTGTACAAAAGACAAACTATACGTATTTCGCTTGGTTTTGAGCCCCCGGGGGAGTTGGAGGAGGAGAAGGGTGACCACAAACTTCATGAAAAAGTTGAACTTGGTTTATATAGTAAAATAGTAATCTAATATAGCTACTTCCAAATTAGCTAAGGAACTGAGTTTCCTGGTGCTCGCATTCTTTCGAATCCAACCGCGTTGAAGCCTGCCGGAGTTGTGATCCAGCCTGCGAGCACATGACTTGCGGCTCTTGGATCAGACTCGGCCCTGTTTTAGACGGCCCAAACCCAAGCTACACGAAGCAATGCAAGAGAACCAAAGGTCCTCGTTGATCCTTCCGAAGGGCTGCTTGACACCCATTTCTGTTTGGAAGTGAATCGAAGTTCAGTTCCAGCTTCGCTTGGTGGAGGCCTCTTTGGGGGCTCAACGGGCGCAAGCCCGTTTGGGGGAAGCGGCCAACTCAGACATTCCAATTCATTTCTGGTTTAGTTTCAAGATGTCAACTCTTTCAACTTGCGGTGCTTCTCTAATCTTCTTTTGGCAATGCCAACTTTGCAAGGTTCATCTAGTGGAGGTCTCCTCACCTCATCAAGCAGCTCCACTGCAAGCCCTTTCGGTGGAAGTGGCTGGCTTGAATAGGATCTAGGAGTATGTGAGAAACAACAGGGCGGAGAGAAGTCTTGT